TTAGTTAAATACTTGATACTTTAATATTTCTATTATAAAGTTCTTATAATCCTTCTTAAAGAGTTTTAATAGAATAATTCTATAGTATAAGAACTCTATATACTATTTCAATTATTCCATTTACTAAAGAGTTAGATTTAGCAGTAATATTAGATTAACTTTATCTAAATTCATATTATTAAGCTAAGCATTATATTAGTTCTTAATATTACTATTTTTATCTTTCTTAAATAGCATTAAATATAGAAATTGAAAAAGAATATTAGCTATAGAATTCTTTAATCCGAGAATATATTTAATAATAAAGTTAAACATCTTAATCATTATTATCTATCTATTCAGAAGAGCACTGAATATATTATTTATTTCTCTATTAAATTGGTTTATTAGAATACAAGTATTAGTTTCTAGAATGAAATAATAACTATAGAGATGCTGCTAAAGAGATTGTAGAATATAGAGAATAGCGCAATACTCTCTTTTAGTAGTATTATATTTCTATGCTGCAACTATTTAGATTTTGCTAATAAAATATGCTAGCTTTTATTTATTCTCTACTATCTGCATTAGTATATCGCTCTAGCTTAATAAGCTTGCATTTATTATAAGAATAATCTTTCCAGTATTAGTGCTATAATTAATTAAAATAATAATTAAATAAGATGTGAGTATTCGGATAAATATAGCAATAGCTTCTTTCTATTTCTTCTTCTATTTTTATATAATATCTTTCTTAAAAAGATTATAGAATAGTTAAGCAATAATTGCAAAATTTCAAATCCAAGCTATATAATAAATAACTAGTTCAATGAAAGAGCAAATATCTTTAATATCCTTATATTCTATTCAAGCTAGAAGCTTTTCTATCTTTCTATTCTAAGATTATTATCTGCTGAAACTAATAATATAATTAATTATATTAATTTTCACTTAGCATTATTCTAACTTAAATACTAAGATTATAGCTCTAGCTAGCTTTGCATTTATAAGAATCTTATCAAGATTTCCGATATGCTCAGCAATGTATTTATATACTTTAGAAAAGCTCAGAATCTTTTTATTTCTATAGATTATTATAAGATTATAAACAGAAATATTATTAAGAAAAAGCTAGCATATATAAGAAATAAAATAATACAGAAGTCTAATTATTATTCTTATAAACTAAGCAATAGAGTTAGTAGCATTCTGGAGTAGAGTATATATTCTGAATAAGCTTAAGAGTATTAAGAAGATTATTATATCTCTGCTATTAGAATGCAGTTGTACTTAGTTATATTCGAAAAAGAAGTTAAGTAGTAAAAGAATCTTGCATATAGCAAACTTCTTTGAAAATTCATCTAAGGCAGGCAGCATAAAAGCATTCTTAAAATTATATTTATTATACTTTTAAGTATTATTAATCAGATATAAGCTATTATTCTTTTTAATAATAAGAAACTAATTATTTCTGTATAATATATAGCTTTTCTTAATAATCTTCCGCTTAATATATTATTTCAGAAGCTTTATTAACTTTAGCTTAAGAGTATTAGAAATTGAAATATATCTTGCTTAAAAGATCTTGTAGAATACAATTCTGATTTCTTATAAAAAAGCTACTTTCTTAATAATCTTTCCAATCTTAGTAAAGTTTCATGTAAAAGCTTTGATTTTATTTCTCAATATATATTTGAATATTTCCTTCTCAGCTTTAGAAAACTCTTTATAATTTTTCTCTTGTATAGCAGCCTACTGATTAGATTTCAGATGCTAATTAGAATTCAGATTGCTGAACTTGAGTTCAATCTACTTATTATACTTAGTAGGCTTTTTAGATTGCTAAGCTCATCTCATCTCTTTAATCTTAGCAGGCTTTCATTCAATTATTTCTTTCAGTACTAAACTATTAAGCTGGGAATTATTAATTAGCTTAATCTTCTTGTTTTTAAGCTTATAAAAAGTATTAATTAAGCTTAAGATATCTTATCTTTCCTTTTTTATATAATATAGCTAGCATGAATAGCGCTAGCTGCTGTGCATTCCACACAGGCAAGACTCTCGAATCGCTTCTTTCTCATTTATCATGAAGCAATTCTTCTTCAACTTCCTTTCTATCAGTTCTACTATTAACTTATTTATAATAGCTGCAATATCTCGTTCAGATATGAATATTACAGCTATATCTCCCTCCTTCAATAATACTCACTCTAGGATAACTTCTCTGCTAATAGCTCTGCATTCCTTAGGATAGCTGCTAGTACTCAGTTTTTTGATGTAGTTCTATATAAACTCTTCTCTTCAAAGAATTTCTGATTGCTAATTGTAGTAATCAGTTGTATTCCTTCAAAAGCGAAGCTTGTATGAAGAAATCCGAGAATGGAGTAATTAAAGGAAAGCTTGGTTTGCATTATAAATAGCATTTCTAATAATATAAAATAATTTAGTAATATTAATCTGTTATTAATAATATAGAATATTATTTATTTAGAAAAGCTATTATAGAAAATATTAGTTTTAAGAATTCCAATAAATGCTATATCTGATTTATTATATATATATAAGATAATATTTAATATTAGTATATAAAATAAGCGTATGTTTGAATATAGAGAGAAAGCTATTAAGCTTATTTTAGTATCTGTATTCAGCATTGCTTGTATAGATTTATTTTCTTTATTTCCCAGCTGCAGAGAGATATATGCTATTGGAGCGATACTTCTATCTCGAATGCTGCTAAGAGCAATCATAAAAGCTATTATAGAAGGAAATAAGAATTTGTTGAAAGCTTGAATTATATTAATAATAAGCTTAATATAGCTAGATTCAGCAATAAGAGATAAAGCTTGAACTGCAGATAGTTAAGCTAATTTCGAAAGATACTTAGTAATATTCTGAGTATTGATAATCTAATTATTAATAAGCTCTTCAGATTAGGAAAGTATCGAGATTCTGAATTTATGCTGCAATAAATTAGCTAATCTAGCAGTATCTGTTTTATACAGATCCAAGCTAGTTTGATTATTGAGATTAATAACTTTTCAAGCTTTAAAGCTAACTTCTTAAAAACTGTAAATCAGATAAGCTTTTCATTCTAATAATATAATTATTATCTTCCAGCTTGAAATCTTTAATAAATAATCTAGAAACTAATTTAGAAGCTTATTATTAATAGCTTGAACTGTTAGCTCTTTATTCAGATTATTGAATTGCTTATTAGATTTCTTTAATTTAATATTTCCGAAATATATAAGGATTTCAATAGTTTTTATACTTGCATCTTCTCCAATCTTACTATTATCATACTCAGCCTTTCCAATACAGCGCTTCTTTACTTTATCAGCGTTTATCTAAGCTTAAACAAGCTTAATATTTACAGCATTAATGCTGAGAAGCTTTGGTAAGTATAGTTCAGCTTGAGCTGAAATAAGATATAACTTTCTTACTTAAATCTTACTAGTATTACTAAGGATCTTAATATTATTAGTTCTATACTAATTATTGCATTTAGAAATAGAATTGATCTCTTTCTATAATATTTTATTCTTAGCTATCTCAGAATTTCTATACTATTTCTTATTCTCTTAAATCAAGCTAATATATTAAGAGATTTAAGAATTCTTAATACTTTTTAGCTGCTAATTCTTACAGAAACTAAGAATTAGACGAATTATACTGCTTTTAAAGTTATTTCGAGTAGATATAATCTAGCTATATAATACTAATTTTAATCTAGAATTCAGAAATTCTAAGCAATTATCAAGATGCTACTCTAGCTTTGCTAATGCTGAAGCATAGCAAATGCTACAATTCATAACAGTACAGAGTTTCACGCACTCATGAGCTCTATAGGACTTCAATCTACAGCTGTAGCATCTTTGCAGAGTTCCATTCTTCTTCAGAATTTCATTGATCTTCGCTTGCTATGCTTCAGAGTACTGCTTACTCTCATCCTCCGGACTTATATAGATAATACTCATTTGCAAGAAATTTGCATTCCCCTGGAAAGAATTTCTTGCAGAAATAGTTTGGAAATGCTTAATTAGTTATAAGATCTCTTATAGAGCTTTAGTTTGATTATATAAGATATCTTATATCTGTTTAAGAATATTAATTTATAGCTTTAAGAATTTTGCTATTGCAATTTAGTTAATACAAAGTTGCTTTATTATTGAAGCTAACTAATTATATTCTTAATTACTCTTCTAAGCAGATTTAGCTTTTAAAATCTGCTTAATTAGTTTAAGCTAAGCTTGCTAATTATAAGTTAATTATTAAAGCAATTAATAATATAATAGCTCTACTGCTTATTCTAATAAGTTTATTAGTTAACTGAAAGTATTATATATCAAATGTAGAACAGAAATAAGCTAAGTTTAGTTAAGAACCAGCTAAGATGAAAATATAAAAGAATCTTGAAATTGAGCTTATTAATGAAATTGAAGGTTGGTAATACCGGAAGCAAGTTAGTCTTGAGTCTTCTCCTGGAGTACTTTATAATAAACCTTCAACAGCTTTTCCATAAGATAAAGCTACTTCTTGTTGCTAATGCTTTCAGCAGTAATACTATGATCAGCTTGGAGGCGCTTAATCCAGATTAAAAAGAGCTTCATTCATACTTCTGCTATAGATTGATTATCTCTGATCTTAAGACAAGTAAGAGCATTATTGTCAGGTGGAAAGGTTGCAAAGGCAATGTGGCGAGGTCTTTTCTTTCTTTTAAGGGCATACAACCAGAATAACATTGAGGCTTAAGGAGCTAAGTTCTGCTCAGCAGTGCTGACGTGGCTAGAAAGCCGCTTTATAGCTGCATATTGCTTAGTCATCCGTAATCCAGCTGGCTTAGCTAGCCCTGAGCCTTGCTGGCACAATCGGCCCTGACAGATTGTCCCCCCTTATCAGGCCTTGTTCTCAAGGCCTTTGAGGCTTTCAAGCTTTCGTTGCTTCCAGGCTTCCGTTGCTCCCAGGCTTCCGTTGCTTCCAGGCTTTCGCTGCTTCCTAGCTGCTCCTACGCCTTCTCAATGCTTCAGGCTCTTAAGATCTCTCAGTGCTTCAGGCCTCTCAAAGCTTCTCAAGATCCCTCAGTGCCTCAGGTTTCTCAAAGCCTCTCAAGATCTCTCAGTGCTTCAGGCCTCTCAAGGCCTCTCAAGGTCTCTCAGTGCCTCAGGCCTCTCAAGGCCTCTCAAGGTCCCTCAGTGCCTCAGGCCTCTCAAGGCTTCTCAAGATCTCTCAGTGCCTCAGGTTTCTCAAGGCCTCTCAAGATCTCTCAGTGCTTCAGGTTTCTCAAGGCCTCTCAAGATCTCTCAGTGCCTCAGGCTTCTAAGCTACTCAAGGTCTCTCAAGGTCTCTCAGTGCCTCAGGCCTCTCAAGGCTTCTCAAGATCTCTCAGTGCTTCAGGCTTCTAAGCCACTCAAGGTCTCTCAGTGCCTCAGGCTTCTAAGCCACTCAAGGTCTCTCAGTGCCTCAAGCTTCTCAAAGCCTCTCAGAGTCTCAGGCTTCTCAAAGCTTCTCAAGATCTCTCAGTGCCTCAGGCCTCTCAAGGCTTCTCAACCATCTCCCTCCTTCTCTTCTGGCTTCATCCCCGAAGCTTGTGAAAAAAAAATCTCTTTTTAATCACATTTCAGACGTAAGTCTTCCGAGTGCAATACTCGCGCTATATACGCTGCTCAGTCGCTGCTCCCTCAGCGCTTTATCCAAGCACTCTTCAGAACTTAAAGCTGTTTGATGTAGATTGCAAGCCTTCCACCAGGGACTTAGTTTGCAGCCAAGAAGCTCAGCATCCAGGATAGCGTTCCTGTAGCTATAACGGATAATTACAGCTTTCCGTCTTGAGAATTGCTCTCTAGCAACTCTGAAGCTGTTGCTATGCTTCGCTCTATCGCTAGATGCAGAAGGATAATTGGTTTGCAATCTAATACCCAAGTAACTTCAGTTGCTAAGCAAATACTCTGCTTCAGCTCTGCGCTCTCGCTCAAATAGCGAAGAGCACACTCTCGAAAACAGAAGATACTCAGATCTACTGCTTGCTTACTCTGCTCTCTCGCTCGAATAGCGAAGAATATACTCTCGAAAACAGAAGATACTCAGATCTACTGCTTGCTCACTCTGCTCTCTCACTCGAATAGCGAAGAATACACTCTCGAAAACAGAAGATACTCAGATCTACTGCTTGCTCACTCTGCTCTCTTGCTCAAATAGCGAAGAATACACTCTTGAAAACAGAAGATACTCAGATCTACTGCTTGCTCACTCTGCTCTCTCGCTTGAATAGCGAAGAACATACTCTCGAAAACAGAAGATACTCAGATCTACTGCTTGCTCACTCTGCTCTCTCGCTCGAATAGCGAAGAATACACTCTCGAAAACAGAAGATACTCAGATCTACTGCTTGCTTACTCTGCTCTCTCGCTCGAATAGCGAAGAACACACTCTCGAAAACAGAAGATACTCAGATCTACTGCTTGCTTACTCTGCTCTCTCGCTCGAATAGCGAAGAGCACACTTTGTTCTAGCTTAGCAACTCGAATGCTCTGAATCTCTTCTGAATGCTTCTCGCACGCTGCTTGCATACTGCTTGCTCGCTATTTGCTCTAGCTTAGCGACTTGAATGCTCTGAATCTCTTCTGAACGCTTCTTGCACGCTGCTTGCATACTGCTTGCTCGCTGTTTGCTCTAGCTTAGCAACTCGAATGCTCTGAATCTCTTCTGAACGCTTCTTGCACGCTGCTTGCATACTGCTTGCTCGCTGTTTGCTCTAGCTTAGCGACTTAAATGCTCTGAATCTCTTCTGAATACTTCTTGCATGCTGCTTGCATACTGCTTGCTCGCTGTTTGCTCTAGCTTAGCGACTCGAATGCTCTGAATCTCTTCTGAATGCTTCTCGTACGCTGCTTGCATACTGCTTGCTCGCTGTTTGCTCTAGCTTAGCGACTCGAATGCTCTGAATCTCTTCTGAACGCTTCTCGCACGCTGCTTGCATACTGCTTGCTCGCTGTTTGCTCTAGCTTAGCGATTCGAATGCTCTGAATCTCTTCTGAACGCTTCTCGCACGCTGCTTGCATACTGCTTGCTCGACACTGCTTGCTCGCTGTATACTCTAGCTTAGCAACTCGAATGCTCTGAATCTCTTCTGAACGCTTCTCGCATGCTGCTTGCATACTGCTTGCTCGATACTGCTTGCTCGCTGTATTCAAGGCTCGAAAGCTCGAAAATCGAAGGCTCGAAGGTCAAAGGCTCGAAGGTCAAAGGCTCGAAGGTCAAAGGCTCGAAGGTTCGAAAAGGATAGTGGTCTGATCGTTTGCTCTGCTTCTGCTCAGTGTTAGCGCTGCTCCTAGGGAAAAAAAAAGATAGAAAGCCTCGCCGGATTGCCTCCTTTAAAAGGGCCAGGCCTCAAACTGTCAGGTGGAAAGGTTGCAAAAGCAATGTGGCGAGGTCTTTTCTTTCTTTTAGGGGCATACAACCAGAATAACATTGAGGCCTAAGGAGCTAAGTTCTGCTCAGCAGTGCTGACGTGGCTAGAAAGCCGCTTTATAGCCGCATATTGCTTAGTCATCCGTAATCCAGCTGGCTTAGCTGGCCCTGAGCCTTGCTGGCACAATCGGCCCTGACAATTATTATAATTCATAATGAATAATCAGAAGCTAACAACATCAGTAATGAAATAGTTATTAATAATATTCAGATGCTTCTGCTCAGAGATATATGCTTAAAGATAATTCCAAGAGCAATAAGCAACTAATAATTGCTTCTTCTATTCATTCCAAGTTTTAGCATTTATAATAAATCTCTTTACTTCTTCAGCAATAATTATATCTGCATAGAAGCTTTTCATAAAGTTAAATACTTAAATATCATTAATCCCTTTAATCTAATACTACTAATCGAATTGCTTCAGCTATAAGAAGACTTCCACACAAGCAAACAACATCAACTCATCACCAGCAAGCTTACTATAGAAAGAGAACCTAAAGTTCTAACTATAATGATTATTAGCCAGATAATCAGCCGAACTGAATATCTGATTAGAAGAGCTCTCAGATGTAAAAGCTATCTTCCCTCTTAATTATTGCTTCCTCCGATATTTCTTTGCCTTCCTAATTCAAGATCCTTAAATTGAAAGCGCTATAGCCGGAATGCCTTTCATATTCTGCAGAAGATAATACTATAGAGATTAAAAGAGTTCAGATGCTTAAAGGAGATTCAATCTGTAAGTAAAGCATACATAAGATCTATTTTATAATAAATAATAAGAGATTGAATTAGCTTGTTATGACCCATCCAACATGCAGGTCACGAAACAAGTCACAAGTAACAAGAACCAGGTATCATGATTCAACATCGGATAACCAACAAGGATTACGTAATCTAGGGTTAGGGTTACAGGCTGCAACCAATCAGGAAAGGACCGAAGCAGTCGACGATCGGTTTTCACGGTCCAGGCAGTGGACCGCAACGATCAGCCACCGACTCTTACGATTCATACTGAAGAGCTGAATATATAACCACACGCTCATTACCATCAGATAGATTCAGTACATAGCTCTTCAGTTATCAATCTAAGTATCAGATTACTCTCTTACTCTAATAGCCCCAAAGGCAGTGAACACTTGCACAGTTACTACAGTTGTGTTTCCGTATTCAAGGCCGTACTTGGCATTGCTCTTGTTAGCATAAACTCTTCGTATACTTAGGAATCTTCGGATTGCTGCAGTGCTCATTACATTTTGATAACTCTTGTTTAAGAACGGTTCAGTATTACCCCTTGAGCAATACGGAATACGATAGCTTCTCCAGGAACCTCTTCATCCTCGCGCGCTCCCACTTAGGAAGAACTGGTTAATTAGATATACTAGCTTACTCAGCATATCCAGGATCTGCGCGAACAATAGCAGGCTCAGAGCATTATCATCGCTAACTAATAAGCTTAGCTAGCTTAATAAGCTTAGCAGATGCAGTTCACTTCTGCAACCACCAGTAGCGCTGGAAAAGCATACAAGATGAATAAGCTTGCTATATATAATAGCAATCAGAAGATACTGCACGGATTTCTTATTCATTGCAGGGCATACTTTCTGTACTATGCAACTCAGTTCACTCAGAAATCTGAAAAGATTATTCTTGCAGAGATTCATCTCAAAAAAGATACTCTCATCTAATACAAGCCTTCTCTATACAACTACTTAAAGCATTAGAATAATCCCGGTATATACACCCAGAATATTAAGAATATATTCGATTCCTTTAAAAGCTTTAAGAAAGCTTTTAAGGAAATCTTTAGCAATTTCAACGAAGAATACATTACAGCTCAGCAGCTTATGAACCTTAAGCAGATCAAGTCAGCTTCTGCTTATACAATCAGATTTAAGCAGCTCTTAGCAAGACTTCCGTAGAAAGATAAGAATCTCATGAAGCACTACTACAAGAAACTTAAGAATAATATTAAGAACGAAATCTCTAAGCAGGATTAGCTAGAGAACTTTGCAACATTCTTTAATTAAGCAATCTGCATTGATAATCATCTATATGAATAACGGATAGAGAAGTCCAAGAAAGAAGAAAGCTAAATTTAGAGATTTCCAGCTAATACAAGCAAGAAACTCTAATATAAAAATAGCAGTTAACAAAGCAGTACAGCTCAGAGCAGCACTACGCATGCTAGTTCTATGAAACTCGATGCAGCTAATAAGCAGTATAGCAAGAGGAGCAGTATTACTTGCTACAATTGCAATAAGCAGGGATATACTGCATGCAACTGCTATTAATTCCGGAAGAACAAATAGTAATTAGTTCAGAAAGAATACTAAATGAATATCGCTTAGCAACAGAAACCCAATCAACTGAGCAAAAACATCCTCTTGGAGCAAATATCGGATTCTATTGATTACAGAAGTCTCAGCTGAATATTCTATTATAATGATAACTGCTTAATATATCTCTTGAGTAAGGAAGATTCAGAATGGTTCTTCTAGAAGCTTAGGCGCTGCAGGCAGATAGCGACAGCAGAACGAGTGTATATGCTCAGCATAACTACAAGCAGTAATAACTCAAACTGCTCTTATATTATGGAACGCAGTATTCAGGCGTTGAAGGAAGGACTTAGCAGCAGTACTCTTCATCATTTCTCGTTGCTTATACCAAGCATTATAACGAGGGATATGAACAAAGGATGATATCTTCTTGGTTACTGGTACAAACATCTAGATAATACTGAAAACGCTTCTCAAGCAACAGAGGAACTCAGCTAGAACAGATAATCCGGTAGTTCATCAGAATTGCTCGTGAACAATGAACCCAAGAAGCTTACAGAAAGGTTTCCCTTCAGCATTAGATAGAATAAAGAAGCAATATGAATTGAATATCTTGTTTATGAAATGAAGCTAGAAGAACTTTTCATCTGCATTCCTCTGCAAAACATCGAAGCATAACAAAGCGAAGATTCTCGAATCAGCTCGCTTTATAACTTATACTACGAACTAGCATGGATCTCCTGTATCTATTATAGCTGCAGAACGCATTTCTCGGATAAGGTGCAATACGAATGGTTTCTCGTTAGAGAACCAGAGTAAATCCTTTAGGCTGTGAAAGAATAGAAATTCCGCTTTAGAGAAGTTCTCAATAGGCAGCATTACAATGCATACATCAAACTATTAGATAACTGTTCTGTACAATGCATGAATAAGAAAATAGAATGGTAGCAATGTAAGATAGCGCTTTGTACGATTTATATTAATAACAAGGTTTGCAACTAGCATTAATAGAGGAAAGGCTAGGAATAACAACAATACGAACAAAAGCAAGCTAAGAAGCTTGCTTAGAAAGCAGCGAAGCAAGCTTAGAAGAATAAGCAGTTTTTAGCAAACTCAAAAGATCAGAATTGCTTGTAAAGGAACTGCAGACGATCAGACTGAAATGGTTCCTATGTGGAGCTTTTAAAACAAACTACGCTTATATTAAGTTCGATATATACATTTAAGAGCGCAAGCATAGTGCACTATTGAATAGTAGCGCTTAAGGAAATTTTATATCTTCATATATTATTAATTAGGTATAACTACAGTAGAAATGAAAGAAGCAACCATATACTCTCAGTATCGTAGAAGAACAATCTGTTGCATACAACCAAGAAGTAATCGATAAGAAGACTAATCATCTACTTATCTTAATCCAAGAATGCATAATCAAGATTTCCTTTAATATCACGGATACAGCGCAATATGAGCTGATTATGAAGCTTCCATAGCTTAAGAAGCATAATCCTCGAATCGATTGAACTACTGGCCAGATCTCATGAGAACAAGCTGTATCCAGAGAGATAGTTGCAATTAACAGCGCAGAATCGAAGCTAGTTATTGAAGAATACTCGGAAAAAGAAGCTTCAGACAACTTCACACATACCTTCAAGTCAGCAGGGCTGGCAGTTCAGAGAGAAGAACCTAGTGAAAGGCGAACCCAAGTAGTACTAGAGCGCTAACAGATTAGCAAAACAACGGAAGCGAAGCTCTCAGCAAGTCAGTTCGCTCCGGAGCAACAAGAAAAGGCTTCAGAAAGTGAATTGTAGATCCATACAGGAAAAACTGCGAAACCAGGCCCTCAAGCGCTCAGTCCGGCCCGGAGCAGACGCTCAAGGCCCTTAAGAACGCTATCAGAAAAGAAGCATGCTCAACAGTACCTACTGTTCCTCCAGATAGCAGAAACAGCACATGAGCCAGAACCAATACTCGCAAGCATACTACGAGAATACTACAAGTTTAAGAAACTATTCCAAGAAGAATTGAATACAGAATTACCAGAATACAGCTTATACAACTACAAGATTTCACTACAAAAAGGGAAACAGCTCAAATTCTTCCCTATCTACAGACTAGATAAGGCATGATTAGAAGCACTTAGGGAGTATCTTGATAAGAATCTTAAGAAAGAATATATATGATTATTGCAATCACTAGCAGAATACTTCATCCTGTTTATACTCAAAAAGAATAGCAAGCTTAGGCTATATATTGATTATAAGCAACTCAATAATATTATAATTAAGAATCGATATTCATTGCTATTCATTAAGGAATTATAAGATAGGCTGCAAGGAGCTCAATAGTTTACAGCTCTAGATCTAAAAGAAGCTTACAATCTAATCAGAATAAAAGAGGGAGAAGAATGGAAAACTGCCTTCAGAATACGCTACGAATACTACGAATATTTGATTATGCTCTTCAGTTTAACAAATGCTTTAGCTTTATTCTAGGAAATAATTAATCATATTCTATATAAGTATCTGAATCAGTTTATCATTGCATATTTCGATAATATTCTTATTTACTCTTGGATATTAGAAGAATACAAGGAATATATGGAAATAGTATTGCAGATGCTTTAAGATGCGAAACTCCTTATAAAGTCTGCAAAGAGCTACTTTCATGTACAAAAAGTTGATTATCTGGGATTTACAATTAAGCTAAAATGCATTAAGCTATAGAAAGATAAGGTAAAAGCTGTTAGAAACTAGCTAATCCCCAAGAATATTAGGAATATAAGGTTTTTTCTCGGATATATTAACTTCTACAAGCAGTTCATCAAGAATTACAGCCAGATCGCACATTCCCTTACGAATCTTACTAAAAAGAATTAATTTTTTGAATGAACTTCCAAGATATAAAAAGCTTTCAATGAGATCATCAGGCATATTACCTCAGAACTAATTCTGTATGAAGCAGATTCCTACAAACCCTTTAAAGTTGAAACTGATGCATCGGAATATACATTCAAAGGATAACTTGGTTAGCAAAACAACCAAGAGCATTTAAGAATTGTAAGCAACTTCTTAAGAAAGTTAAATAGCTCGGAAATCAACTACAGAATTTCTAATCAGGAATTCATAGCAATAGTGAAAGCTTTCGAGGAATAGCAATACTATCTCATCAGCATACAATACTCGATCATAGTTTACTTGAACCATAAGAATTTAACTATATTCATAACAACTAAGATCTTGAATAAGCAATAAATCAGATGAGCAGAATTCCTCTTATAATTCGATTTCAGAATCATATACTGCAAAAGCTCGGAAAATGAATAAGCAAACACTCTTAGCAGACAATCAGATTATTGAGATACAGATTCCTCGGATATATAGAATATCTTTATTCAAGATAAATTAGGAAATCTCGTTAATACATATAAGGAGCTGAATGCTGTTTTCAGGATTGAATCCTTCTTCGAGGATTCAGAATCGATAATTCCAAACGAACAAGATAACTACATCAAGAATATATACAGTGCATCAGCATATGAATACCAGGGAATTAGAGCAACCTATGAACGCATTAAAAGGCACTGAAACCTACTAAGCTTTAGAAAAAGAATCGAAGATATTCTACAACAATGCAACAGCTGCAAGAAGAACAAAGCAGAAAGATACAAGCCTTATAAACTACTGCACTCCTTATCAATACCTACAACTATTTAGCAATCCATCAGTCTAAACTTCATTACTAAGCTATCTCTCTTATAAGAACTCTTAATTAAGATATAATATAATAGCATTCTAGTAATAGTTTGCAGACTGAGCAAGTATACTTATTTTCTTTCTTATAAGAAAAGTAGTACAGTAGAGAAACTTGTATATGCATTTCTCAGAATAATCATTACTAACTACAGCATGCTAGAGGAAGTAATCTCCAATAGAAACAGGAAATTTAACTCGAAATTTTGAACTTCGCTTATAAAACAACTCAGAATATACTACAAAATGTTCATAGCATTTCACTTATAGATAGATGAATAGATAGAAAGAATGAATCAAATTATTAAACAGTATCTTCAATACTATATTAATCAGAAATAGAATAACTGAATTAATCTATTATCTCTTGTATAATTCGCTTATAATAGTATAGATATAAGCATAATAAAGAAGTTACTATTCTTTATACTCTATAGATATAATCCAATAGCTTACTATAAGATACTGCTAGAAGCAAATGCAGAAGCTACAGATAAAAGAATTAAGAAAATCAAGAAAGTTTAGAAAGAATTCCAATCAGAATTACAGTTCATTCAAGAACAAATATTACAATACGCAAACTCCAAAAGAATTAAGAAATCAATCCTACAAAAGGGAGATAAGATCTACCTACTTCGGAAAAACATTAAAACAACCAGACCTAGCAACAAACTCGATTACAAGAAGTTAGAATCCTTCAAAATCTTGCAACAAATCTCCCTAGTTAACTACAAGTTAGCATTATCTTATAGGATGAGAATATATCTAGTTTTCCACATCTTACTGCTGGAGCTAGCAGCATAGAAAATACTAGCGGATAATATAGCAGAAGTGGAAAACAATAAACCAGAGTATAAGATGGAAAAGATCCTCAAGTACAGAGATACAAAC